TTATTGTACAGTTAATGGATAAATGTAAACTAAGTGGCTACTATTTAACTTGTTTATTATCATGCAAGGAAATCATACCACTTGAAGGTTATAACAGATGACGTTATTTAAAGAGACAGAATTTGTGAAACTTTRTGATTTACATACAATCTACGTGATTTTCAGTTCCACGACCGGACGAAGAAATATCTACGTGCTAAAAATTACTGATTATGCTCTTAAACATYTAACTGCTATGTATATAAAAAAATATTATCTGTAGGTAAAAACCTAGGTGATTTTTAGGGTTAAATTTATCTAAAATTTTAAATAATAATTGTCACTATGATTAAATCGTTCTAAGGTTCATGGTAAATATTAATAAACACTAAATAAATATTTAATAAATATTGAATAACAGTAATCCAGTGATTAAAAAATTTTTTTAATTTTTAACAGAATTTTAGTATTTTTATTTGTATTATTTTCATAAAATACTACGATGGAAATATTATAAGATAATGTTCTGATACAGRTGATAAGTGAAATTATAAATTTAATTTTACAAGTGTTCGTAAATATTTCTTATTTCTATAGAAGATATACAAGATCATAAACAGCTTTCCTGATAAAGAAAAAAGTTAAGTTCGCTAWCCGTACTCCTAGTTTTATTCCGAGGATTGTATAAAAATATTATTATAAATTATTACGAGTCAATTCATTCACGTAATACAGTATAATCTATTTGAAATAGTATAATTTTTTTTAGTTAACTTCTTATCAATCTTATTTTTATTATTTCTGGTAATAATTTTTATACTAGGTTATTTACCTTCCCAATTCACAAAATAATTMATTTTAAACTTTTTGGGTACACGGTTTCTAGTSACTTRAGWCTTGACACTGTCTAGTTAGACTTCAATTTATTATTATTATTGAAATTTCAGAGAATTTCTATTATGACCTAACATATTACGAYCATTGGTAGATGATATACAGAATGAAATGAAAAAGCAATACTCAAATGTGATGTTCATTACAAATTATAATAACTAGATTAATGGAAGGCTGAGATATTAAAGTTGATGCTATAAAAGGAATTCAGGATTAGAATGAATGGTAGTTTGGACATTTGAGAGAGATTGTCTGCTAGAAGAATAAAAATATGTTTCTAAGTTAATATCGGTATATCAAACACATATAATATTCATAGTAAACTTAAATATTTGTTTCTGTACAGAATCCAGTCACAATACGCTTTCATATATAATATGGACATAAAGACTTCGCTCTACATTCTATCTGAAATGAAAACTTTATTTTATACATCATATTGAGTTTATTTATATCAAATACGAAATAGAAGTCTATAATATAATGAATTGTCAACATTTTTCGAACGTTTTAATCTTTTTTAAACAGATATCGTCAGAGTGGGTTATTTGTATTTACTGAGTTCCAACAAGCACAAAGTCAAAGTACACACAATCCTTATGCGTGCTTAACACACACAAACAGTCTTGGGTAAAATACTTTTTAAAAGTATTTGGAGTAAATACTCGAATATTCATGAAAAATAGTATTCCGAATATGTATTCGAATACATCATAAAAWTAGTATTCTRRATAAAGTATTTAGAATACTATAAAAATATTCCAAATACTTTTAAAATATTTTTTGTTATARATATTMATAAAATAATAATTGCTTTTGGGAAATTATAGCCAATGTTTAAATATATAATAATATATTGTTTGTAAATTAAAATTATAATACACCGAACTATAACTATTTATGATTCACAATATTATA